TCTGGATAAAGACCAGCGGCAAACCCCTATCTGCCACCGCACTCCTTTATTCCACGTCATCAAAGACGTCCCATCTTTTCTTGTGTCATTTATAGATCCTCTTTTGGTACATTCGCTGAAGTTCATTAGTTCACAGCCATTGTGCTTCAGATTTGTAACGTGAATCCTTTTAGGCCTTGTGCGATGAGATTCTGTCTCTGTCTAGGCCTTGCGCTCCGATAAGCTCTTTTTCATTTGGCTGTATAGAAAGCATGAGGATTGGGATTTCATCGGTGAGGATTTCAAGCTAGAAAGACAGAGAGGATTAAAACCGGAATCCCTCGAGGAAACTCGGATAAAATGCGTCGCTGGAACAACTGGACGGAGAAATGAAAGGAGGGAGGCTGGGCTGCCGTTTGGGCACTTGTTCTCGCCTGTCCTGGCATCTGATGGAGCACAATTACATGCTAGATTAAGGGGTTTGTGGAGATACGGAGGATTCGGGAGGCTGGGTTGGGGATCTCTAGCGGTCTGGCTGTGTGTCGCTGGCACTCTCTGGCACTGCTGCTGTTGGTGCCTTCGGACTCCAGGTTTGTGAGATCAGAAACAGGCTGGTGGCCTAGCAACTGTTTGTTTGGGTTTTCAGTCGTGGCGGTGAAGGGACTTTTTCATATACGATTGTTTTGGGTTCCTTTGTTACACCCTATGCACTTGAATACTCTTTTTTTTTTAATATATATATATATATATATATATATATATATATATATATATATATATATATATATATATATATACACAGTGTATATGTGTGTGTGTGTGTGTGTGTCTATATACACTGAACAAAATTATAAACGTAGAACGTAGAGAGTGAAAGACATCTGCCTGCGTCCACAGTCTCCAGAGCGTCTCCATGTACTCACGGACATCTGGTAGCTGGCTCTTATGAGAGCACGCTTTGGAGATCTCACACTCTTATGGTCTGATTTATTAATGCCACGCTGTATGGCGTCATCATCAGTCGCTGTCAGCTCCTTCTCTTTCATCCACACTCTTTTATCTGTGAGTGCGCATTTGCGAGGGATGTTAGGGTTAGCGAGAGGATCTTTTGGGTTTTGGCATGATTCTCCAGAACCGTCTTCTGGTCTTGTCAGAGAGAATTTAAACCTTTGGTTTGGTCAGTGGTAGAATGCAGCCTCATATAAAGTAAATTTATTAAACCTACTCTCATGTAAGAGACACAGAGAGACTGCAGTGCAAAAAAAAAAAAAAAAAATCACATTTTCTAGTATTCCAGAAAAATATCTAGTGTCATCTTAAAGGGGTCATATGATGCTGCTAAAAATAACATTATTGTTATTATTATACATTATTTGGTGTAATGAAATGTGTTTATGCAGTTTAAGGTTAAAAAAACACATTATTTTCCACATACTGTACATTATTGCTTCTCCTCTATGCCCCGCCTTTCTGAAACGCATAGATTTTTACAAAGCTCATCGGTCTGAAAAAGCGAGGTGTGCTGTGATTGGCCGAATACCTCAAGCGTGAGACGGAAATGTTACGCCCCTCACCATACTGTGATGCACTGTCCGCCCGGAGCGACAAGACAAAAACATTAAAACCCATTATAAACGAGGCATTTGTTGCATCCAGTGGGGACATAATTACGGATTAAAATGACTTATACTGTCTTTTTACGTGTTACGTTGCATCGCGCCGCACAAACATAAAACCATGTCTGCATTTGTGATCGGAGAAATGACAAACAACAAGCCCTACTCTACACTGCTCAAAACTCGAGTTTGAATCGTCAGTGGCAAATCCTTTAAATATGAAAACCTCAGAACAGCCAGCATTGCAGTCTACTCTACCAGGATCAGGAAATAGTCCTCCATAAAATGTGCTGCACACATCTGAATATTTGGGTTGAACTGTTCTGGAACAGTGTTGTAAATACAACTTAACCACTGATTTCTAGTCGTGTCCTCTTTTGGAAGACCAAACAAAGTAGTTTCGCTTTCACAACGAAACACAGCGTCACACACCACGGCCTTGAGTGAGGAACGGCCGGCGGCTAGAGTGAGCGGTGGCCAGCGGATTCGACGAAGGAGCGTCCGGCGGGCTTGCGGCAAAATGGTCCAGTTAATGCAACACAATTTACAATATAATCAAACTGTTCTTGTAGCAGCTGTTTTCTCTGGAGCTTGCCTCTGTGGTTGTCTGTGGATGTGCTTTGAGAAGTAAAACCTTGTCATTTAGGCCCTGTCAACTGTTTTTAGTTCTGTTTTTAGACAGGGGTTCAGTGAAGTTTGTCTGCAGACCTAGAGAGCTGCCCAGATCCTCAGCACTGATCTTCTAACCAGCAACAGTATAGATTAGCAAAAAGCTGCTTTGTTGTTTATATATATCGTGTTGTTTTACTCTCAAACGTTCTAATGGTTTGCAGTGACAGTGATTTGTGAACAACATTTATTTCAAATAGAATTCTTTTGTAACATTATAAAAGTCTTTACTCTCCCTTTTGATCAATTGAATGCATCCTTGCTGAATAGAATTATTCATTTCCTTAAAAAAAATCCTACTGCCCCCAACCTTTTCAACTTTTCAGTTATGTACTAATTTAGTGTTATTTTGTCACATTGCACAACATTTGAACAGACTAAATATTTCCAAGTCTTTGGAAACTGGGTTAGAACAAGTTGTTAGTAACTCGTAGTTTGGCAAACAGCCGTTTCAGTGTTGCTTAATACTGTTACATATGTGACACCAATAAATAAGGTATCAAAATACTCTGACACAACCCGGCGGTAGCAGACTGTTACTCTAAGAATAATTGGCTTGATTGTGCAGTGCAGGAAGCTGCAGGTCTCTGCCCCAGGCTGTGTTATGAGGGGCAGGACGTCCCGTTTGATCCGGCGCTCTCACACGCCTCCTGGAATGCTAATGCTAAACATACTAATGTTCATAGGCTTTTAAAAAAAAAACACTAGCCTCGGGCCTCACACACACACACACACACTGCCACAGCACTGTGCATATAGAAGCAATTAGCCTGTGTTACGAGTCTCGTAAAGTGTCTTTTTTTCTTTTCAAAACTCATTAAGAAAAAGAATGTGTGCTACTTTCCAGGTGTTGGCTAACTAAACAATGTGTAGCGTTTTCTTGCCCAAACAAGATATAGTAAACACGTATTTGGATAACTGCGACTAAGATGCACGTTTTTTTTAGGCATGATAGCATTGTAATACCTTGGTTGTTTGGACACTTACTTTGAAGCACCTTGTATATGGCACATATTGTTGATGCTTTAAAACCGATAACTTAGTATTTGCCTTGACTGTCATAACAATTTTAATGACAGAAAGACTGTGAAAGCCTCATAGGGTATTAGGAGGACATGGGAGTGTTATTCATTATGATTTTACATTAGTAACAATAAATAGCATATTGTTTTGACAGAAACTGTTCTGTGGTCATTTTGTATAATGGTTAACCTTAGCAGGCAAATTAGTGCATGGCGTGCACATGTGTGTATGCTCATGTAATCTTTCACTGAGCGGTTCTGGAAAAGCATTCAAAGTTTCTAAAGGCTTCGTGTGTTTTTTTCAGTGTCTTTTAACTGTCATCTTTATCTTGCTCGCTGGGGATTTTAAAGCCATGTTCTCTGTAAAACCGCTTTAAGATGATTTATTGTGGTGGGAAAATGCTATACAAATACATTTGAATCAGATTATTGAATTCAATTTAAAATGATACACTGTGAACTGAATGCGGTTAATAGCATATTATAATAGGTTAATATATGGATGTGTGTGTATGTACAGTATATATTGTATATATATATATATATATATATGTACTGTTTAGTCACATCAGAGATTTTAAAATGTGGACTTCAGGGAAAACCAAAAAGAAATGCCACAAATGTGAAGAATATGCTTCCATTTAATTGTAATTCATTTAATCATCGTTGCACACTCGTGTTAATTAGCTGCCCTTAAATCTGAAGATTCTGTTGATTCTCTCAATCCCAATCAAAGTGGCAGTGCTTCTAAAGATGCAATTAGTCCCTGACGAGCTAATTAAACTCTACGAATGCACCCATTCTCATGTAGGTCAGCAGCATCGTGTTGTGTAGATCATTAGAAGCGTGCAGTCATCGTCATCGTCGCTAATCAGCTTCTCTCTTTTGATGGATGATTTATTTATCATGGCACGAGTGATGACCTCAGCTATAAATGGCATCGTTGATGATCATTAAAAAAAGATGAGGTGTCTATCAGCTCGCTGGACTCTTGTAGGGCTTGTTTTTGAACAGCCGTTTGAAGATCCTGGTAAATGTGCACCCTTTTTTTAAATATTAGATTTCACACCATTCACTACTCATCAATTAGCTCACATAAACAAATGCACAAATAATGCGAATGATGCAAAAAGGCTTATAGTTATTTGAAGTACAAATTATTGATTCATACTAAAGCAGGCATCACTTGTACAATTGCTCATACTTGAGGTTAGTTATTTGAACTAACCACTAACCAACTAAATGTACTTAGAAACCCTATATAATATATACAGTTTACAAGTTTGGGGTCAGTAGGATTTTTTAAATGTTTTTGAAAGAAGTCTCTTACATGCTCACCAATACTTATCAAAAAATACAGTAAAAACTGTTTTCTATTGGAATATATATTAAAATGTAATTTATTGCTGTGATCAAAGCTGAATTTTCAGCACCATTACTCCAGTCTTTAGTGAATAGAATTACTTCAAAAAATAAATCAATAAAGTCTTATCCCTCTTAAACTTTAAATTAGTAAAGTATACATATGTAATGTATATAATGTTTTTTTTTTATTTGTTTTAAAACCAATTTTTTGTTGTATTGGCTAACTAGATACCACAAAATCTGTCCCTTTTTTCGAATTAATGTGCTACATAATCATTACTTTAAAAATGAATCGTTATGTAACCATTGCTTGAGAAATGAATAGCACTCTTCTCTGTGTTTGTTTCAGTGGCTTATCTTGGCGATATTGCGCTGGATGAGGAAGATATGCGCATGTTTAAAGTGGACCGCATTGTGAATTTAGCAGAGAGAACAGTCACAGTTCTGAATCACACCGATGCGGGTAAGTGTGCATGTTTGAGTGCATGGGCCTGCTTTATATAAACTTTGTGTCAGGCTTAATTGGCAGTCAGAGACTCAGGAAGAGAACTTGAAGCCATACGTTATTGAACCAACAGAGAAAAGCCTGTCGAGAAACAGTTCCCACATTCCCAAACAGAACAACACATTGCATTTGGGATTTGACTAAATGACAGTGAATTTGTTTTCATAATTAGCCTTTAGTTTCATGATATTTTCACACCAGAAAGAAGGAAAGTTTTCAGAGGAGAGAAAAAACATGAGATGATAAAGAAATGGGCACAAGAGACAGAATTTAACTCCAGTACAGTACAGTACAGTCCTACAGTCTGTGTAGGAGTTAGCATTCAAAACAATAGAGAAAAAAAAAACATGCTGTGCTGAAAATGTTGAAACCGATACGAATTAGTGGTTGCCGTTGAGCTCAGTAGACAATTTAAAGTCACATATTTGTAAATGGCACATACGTTGGCCACAAAAATGTATTTGGACTTTGTTTTAAATGATGAAACAGTAGTTTCAAATGAGCACAAACATTATTTGGACTGATTCTGGTTGCCAGATACTTTGAAAAAGTGGGTTTGCATTTATTTATATGTAAATGTAAATGTAAGATTAGAAGTTGATATGTAAGCTTTCTCTCCCTGAAACTCGAGAAGATGATGTTCCAGATGACGGTTTCCTAATTAACCCTCATGTTGGAAATGGTAGGTTCACTTTCCAATGAGACGAATACAAACAATACGGCGTCCCATCGCAGGAAGAGGGCAGCGACGTCCAGACCTGAGAGGGTTTGGCCCGAGGGCGTCATTCCTTACGTCATCAGCGGGAACTTCAGCGGTAAGTTATGTACACATGCACAGCTTTTCATGCTTAAGTTTTAGTCGAAAACAACAGCATGTGATTGATAACATCTGTTTGATTATTAAGTTGCATGATTATAGTCAGAGCTGGGTAGATTATGCACAAATTGTAGTTTATTACATAACGTAATCTAGGTTACTCATTTTAGGTAATGTATTCGGACTACTTTTTAGATGACTTTTTTTTTATCAAACTTGTTTTAAACTTACCATTTTGATATAAACAATCAAAAAGAAAGAAAATATATTCCATCTTTTGAAATCAACATCATAAAATGCATTAAACATTACATTAGATCAGGTTTCCCAAACTGGGATTATTGTAAGAACCAAGTTACTGAAGGTCACTGATGAAGACAAAGGTCCAGTTTTACTAAACGGAAAATTAGCGCAAGAGCGCAATTCCAAAACAGCGCCAATGGGTGGGGACATTTCTGCGGGTGATTTACTAACAATGCACAAATTAAAGAACAGAAAGACGCAACATCTCATTTCCATATCGACCAACGCAATATACCAAGCGCAGTGCAAATGAGTGTAGTCGCAAATAAAGTATAAAGAAATAAAGAAGCCACGGTACGTTGAAAAGAACCGGAGGCCAAAAATGAAGGTTTGCTAGAAGTTTTGATAGACCTGGTATTCCAAGTCGTCTTTTATTTCCTGAAGCAAATTAAAAATAGCATGGCTTGGCAAAGGATATGTTCCTATAATGTGTTCCCTTTCAGTCGGTCACTCCCGACGTCACGTCGGATGACTGATGAATTGGGATCTCACTTAGAGAGACCAATCTACTTCGAGTGTAAACTAAACGAGCCAATGCACTTTGGCATGCGATGATTGCATCCAGCTGCCGCTGATCACAGCGTGAGTATAAGTAGGCAGCAGATGCAGCGCATATTCAGCTTTTCGCTTCGGAGCCGAGCGATCACATCGTTCTGCTCCTGACTACTCTACTGAGAGAAGAAGACTGAACGAGTTCAGCGCGCTCTTTGAGAGCACTTCGTGTTGGCGGTACGGCGCTTCTGCGGTGGTGGTTTCCCGTGTCGAGTGGGTTGCACACATCAGGCTGCACTACCCCCTGTTTGTGTTGCAGGCGGCCAATTCCCTAAAAGAGCAATTACGGGTGCGTCTTTTTAAAGACGACGTTGTGTGGTAAACTTGACGTTACGTCTTTGTAAAGACGATGTGGGTCTTGCTGTAGACAACGTATCACCCGGGCATTTCTTGATGCGGTCGTTACCTGGCGCAGGGTGATGGTCACGATCGCTGCCTCACGTGCCTGGGCATCTAGCACGCCGAGGTGGCGTTTGTGGATAAGTCATGTTCTCATTGCGGGAAGATGTTCATCTCGGAGTCGCGGGCCAAGCTCCGTTTCCTCAAAGGGGTGGAGTTCTGTTGCCTCTGCCTCAATCTAGTTCTCGTCATGGCGGCAGTCAGGTGGGGGCTACTTCAGGCAGTAGCATGGGCGGTCTGAGGGGACGAACCAACGGACTACCCAAGCACCCTCTGTTAGTGTTACACACACTCAGACCCCGCCTCGGACCGGCTACGAGACGCCCGGGCTGGGTCCCTGCATTCTTTCTCGCTGCCCCACTGTGGGTACACCTGTAGTTCCGTTGGGGAGCCTGGCTAGCGCTACCCAGCCCGTCTCGATGGCTTCTTCGAACCGTCAGGCTCGGCTATGCGATTCAGTTCGTCCGGCGCCCTCCCAAGTTCATGGGCGTCCACTTTACTTCAGTGAAAGCAGCAGATACCCCTGTCTTGCGTACAGAGATCGCAGTCCTGCTGGCGAAGGATGCGATAGAGCTGGTCCCTCCAGCCAATATGAAGATGGGGTTTTACAGCCCCTACTTCATTGTACCCAAGAAAGGCGGTGGGTTATGACCAATCTTGGACCTGCGTGTCTTGAACCGGGTCCTTCACCGGTTACCATTCAAGATGTTGACGCAGGAACGCATCTTCGGGTGCATCCGTCCCCGAGATTTGGTTTGCAGCGATTGACCTGAAGGACGAGTACTTCATGTGTCGACCCTTCCACACCACAGACCATTGCTGTGGTTTGCGTCCGAAGGACGAGCATATCAGTACGAGGTCCTGCCCTCTGGGCTGTCCCTGTCGCCCCGGGTCTTCACGTAAGTTGCGAATGCATCCCTTGTTCCCCTAAGAGAACAGGGCATTCACATTCTCAACTACCTCGACGACTTGCTCATATTAGTTCAGTCTCAGGATCAGTTGTGCGAACACAGG